CTGCTATAGGCCCAAAACAGTTTGGGCCTATATTAAACAATGATAATCACAGTATGCAGAGGGGAATACCAGATCACCTCCCAATTCTTCAACTCCATCAGAGACTCCATAAGGATATAATATTTCCTAAGTAAACAGTAAGTATATTGTAAGCAACTTCCAAACTCTAGAAATGACAAAGACATCTTGTTGCCCGGACAGTCACCCAAAGTTCTTCTGTATTGTTTAGGGCATCCATCTTCAGTCCACAGGCACAGAGTATCCAGCAGACCTTTCCATAAAGTAGGTAATTTGAAGCCCTGTTCTGTCTTGCAATGGAAAAGTCCATCAGTTGCTTTCTTCTGTGTCCTGCAGAATGTCTGGCAGACATCTCACTTTTAGACAAATTCAGCAGTCATTTCTTTGTGAGTCCTGCCTGTCTAGTTCATCAAGCAGTCCCGCCTAGAGCAGTTTCTTGCCAATGGCTAACAAACTCCATAAGGAGCCTCTTCAATGCTGATCATCCTCTTGAAGTAGATTGGTACTGCCAGGAGCAGATGTATCTCATTGTCATGAAAAGTCTTAAGCTCTTAAAACATTTTAAAGGTCATATTCTGAAAGTCTCTGAAAGATTTGAAGAATCCATATCTATCTGAAATACATTTCTGTACATCTAGAAAATCTAACTAACATGCTACAAACTTGACTATTACTATTATAGATGACTCTCTATTTACCTACATTTTAATTATACATTACATTTTTAAATGAGCTGCACAAATACAATGCCTTAATCAAGAGCAGAAATACATATAATAAAATTGACCTTAAATTAGTATCAATAAACCAAGATCCATACCAATGCAAATCTCTATAGCATATCCCCTTTTAAATGTAAACAAACATTTATGAACAGTATTTGGGAATGTGGGCATAGTTCTCTCCAAACTGCTTTCTGCTCTTTATTTGGTAAAGTGATTTTTTGGGTGTGTTCATAGTGACCTTTTGGGCGGTCTTGATTCATCAAACCACATTAGTCTGGAGGGATTCCACAGGTTCTCATCCTCTGTGGGCAAAAAAGGATAACCTCTTTTCCAAAGCAACAAATCCTTAGACCCAAATTCTGAAGACATGATACCTTTAAAGTATATATATATATACTTTATTGGTTACTTAGCTTCTTTACAGTCAAAAAATTCAAAGAAAACACAATAATATACATAATCCAGACACTATGTATATAGTCCATGTTTATGTGGCTTATTTTTTATTCTATTACTTTTTAATATTTATTTTATTATCTTTACTCCTTTAATTTATGATTGTCTATACTCTGTCTCTTTAAAGACTTTGTTTAATTTTTATAAACTATTTACTTCTTTTTATAACTTTCTATATTTCTCTTCTCTCTCCCAAGCCTATGTACATTTTTTAAACACACCGTGTCTCATTTAGAAATCTTTTATGTATGAATCTGTCCTATTGTGTGTCTGTAATTCTTTACTGTTTAGGAGCACTTCTTAAAATGCTAAGCACTTTTGAACGTAAGCTGTGCCATTGGTAGAGCAAATACAGCCTACCTGCTTGCTCCACCCAGTCCAACATGGCAGAGACATGCTTGCTGCCTCTGAGAGCCATGTACATTGCCCCATTTGCAGGCATACAGGGGATCTAAGTTGCCAGTAGCAATCTGCTCACAGATCCCATAGCCAGTCTTCCAGAAAGTCAGAGTTCACAGTGGCAGCATAGCTCAGAAAGCTGGCATTTCAAAATGGTGCAGCTTTTTTTTCCTGCTACCTCTAAATCAGAAAAACCTCTCTTAGAGGAGCCGCAGCATGTCACCAGTAAGCAAAGCCCATTTGGGGAAATAAATGTGGCTAAACTTCATTTTTTTTAGTGTCTAGAATTCCTTTCCAAGCTCTCTAAGATTTTAAGTGGATTTTAGTTGGCCACATGAGCACCAGTTTGTTGTGGGAAGCCACTTGTTAGTTCCCAGCTGCTTAGCCCTGAAATAATCGCACAGAAACTGTATTAATAAATCACTGCTTTGCCCATTAGCTCTAGCTTCTTACTGGCTAACTCTTACATATTAATTTAACCAATTTCTATTAATCTGTGTATTGCCATGTGGCTGTGGCTTACCAGGTAAAGTTCTCAGAATCTGTCTCTGGCGGGGCGCCATGACTTCTCTATGACTCTGCCTTCTTTCTCCCAGCATTCAGTTTAGTTTTCCCCATCTACCTAAGTTCTTTCCCATAGCTCTGCTTTAAGCCCAAAGCAGTTCCTGTATTAACCAATGATAATCACAGCATACAGAAGGGAATCCCACAATATGAGTTTCTGTAGCCTCAACCCATTTCCTGTTCTTTGTGCCTACCATGTTGTGGCTGAAACTAACCAGTCAGCTTTCTTCTTTTGCTGTCACAACTTCCCCACCATCATAAATTCTAACACTAAATCACACAAGATTCAGTAGAATTAGCTGCTATTTGGTGCCTAGGTGGTTTTAGCCCACTGTTTTCATTTTTGTTTGTTTATTTCTGAAGACAAGGTTTGTCTTTGTAGCCCTAGCTGTCCTGAAAGTAGCTCTATATACCAGGCTGGCTTCAAACTCAGAGATCTTTTGACTCTGACTCCCATGTTCTGGGATTAAAAGTGGGCCAGCATTCCTGGCTTTTTGTTTTAATATTGTTGTATGATGGTTTTGTTCCTATCAAGCATATGTTGTTGTACTGAGCTTCACCCACATCTTGAATTTTAAAATTTGTCAGAGGGTTTCATTATGTTTCCCAGGATGGCATGTATTCATGACATTAATACTGCCTGTGCCTTCTGAGTCATTGGATTGCAGGTGCCTAAGCTTCTTCCTGCCTGTTTGTTTTGAATTTTTATTTTAAAAAGAATATTTTTGTAGTAGGAGGAGGGTGGCCCTTTGTTCCCTTCTTGGCAACGAAGATGGGATTGCTTGTCGTCCTGGCTAGCTTACACCCAAAATAATCACACAGAAGTTGTATTAATTTAAACACTGCCTGGTCCATTATCTGTAGCCTCTTATTGGTTAACTCTCACATATTGATTTAAGCCATTTCTAGTAATCTGGATATCACCACGAGGTTGTGGCTTACCGGGAAAGATGCAGCATGTCTGATACATTGATCAAAAGATGGTATTAGAAACCCCAAGCTGGGAACAATGGATAGTTATGATCCCCCATGTAAGTCTTTGAGCCCACCTACCTGTATGCAAGACCAGGAGGACTCTTTACTGTTGATCTATTTTTCCTGATCTGTGTTGATTATTTATAATCAGCATATTAATTGCTATTGTTTTCATTTGTCAATTTGTAACTTTAAACATACAGTGCTTTTAGTAAAATGTTATTTACATTGCAGTTAAAATTCGGACACTTCAGGTTTCTGGTAGATGAATAAAGAGTTCAAGTGAATGCATACCTCTTTGTAGAAACTTCAGCAAAAACCTATGAGTTATTTCTTTTATATTTGTTTGATGTTTTTATGTGAAACAGATATTTAATATGTATTTCTTGCTGTGCTAGAAGTGATTGCATAGACTAGGCTGGTATTCAACTCAGAGGAAGATAGATACACATGCCTCTGCCTTCTGAGTACAAGGATTAGAGGTATGATTCAATACATCTGGCATTTTCGTCTTATTTTTCTTTTTGTAGTTAGGAATTAATCTTTCATACAGTTTCTCTTATCTGTACTCAGTACTCTTGATCTGTTTACATATCTTTCATTGTTGGTTAGTAGGCATTTCTCTTGCAAGGTGATATCCCATTCAAAGGGTTCAGAAATGACAGAGGTGAGCCTCCTATTCATTTTGCTTCTAAAGTGACTTGGTGATTAAATTATGATGTCTGTGTCATGGAATAAGTATCGGGCGCACCAGAATTATATGACTTTACTGTCAAAGAAGTATACATTTACAGTGTTGTCAAAATCATGCTTTTGTTTGTACACATGTATGTGATATTTTAGAATACAGTGACCTATGATGATGTGCATGTCAACTTCACTTGGGAAGAATGGACTTTGCTGGATCCTTCCCAGAAGAATCTCTACAAAGATGTGATGGTGGAGACCTACAGAAACCTCACTACTATAGGTAAGACTGAATTATCTTTTATGTTTCAAATAAGGGGACAACTGTTTATTGGTTAATGGTGCTCTTTTGTAACATGATTGAGAAAGAAGAATGAGGTAAATAAGTCAGGCATGGTTATAAGGTTTGCTACAAATGGTAGCTAAATTTTTTTTTTTACAATTTTTAATATATAATGTCTGGCACTATATTTTAGGATACAGTTGGGAAGACCATAATGTTGAAGAACATTGTCAAAGTTCTAGAAGACATGAGAGGTAATTTTCATTTATAAATATACAAATATACCTCTGAAGAATTGTAATGTATCCTATATGTTTTAAACAAAAACAGCAGTGTAAATAATAACATGAATTGATAATTATTAAATTCTCACAAAATCTTATACCTTAATTTCAGATAGGTAAACTGCATTTGCAAGTCATTCTTTTAAGAAAGAAGTCAAGGAAACAATGCCTTAACTTATATTACCATTTGAATCATAATATAATGAGAACTATACTGTAAAATTGTCTATCTGTTTATTTTATATTATTCATATTATAAAAGATATCCATGTTGAAAAGGTGATAAACATATGTCTGAAACTCTCTATTACACTAATAGTCCATAGAAAAGGTAGTTTAACCCATATACTTGTGACTGTGTTAAGTTTAGTGAGAGGGCAGTTAGAGTCAGGAATCAAGGGGCAGCTGTTGTGGAGAGGCCGTAATACAGATGTCACAAGTCTATGAGGACATAAAGTGTGAACTCAATGTGGAAACCTTGTATCTGTTATTCTTCCTTTACTAGGTATATCATATGTTACTCTGGATACAAGCCACATGAGCAGAGGGATGTGAAACGATATAGCATACCTCTCTCTCAGAACAGACAGAAGATATGTAGCAGTCCCCATGTTGAGTATAGTTGTTGAATTTGATGTAAAAGTATATAAGTAATTGGTTTTATAGCCTTGTTGTTAATATATCAACAATCTCACATTTCAGAAAAGCACCATGAGTACTAGGACTGTATAAATATTTTTNCGATATTTTAGAATACAGTGACCTATGATGATGTGCATGTCAACTTCAATTGTGAAGAATGGACTTTGCTGGATCCTTCCCAGAAGAATCTCTACAAAGATGTGATGGTGGAGACCTACAGAAACCTCACTACTATAGGTAAGCTGAATTATCTTTTATGTTTCAAATAAGGGGACAACTGTTCATTGGTTAATGGTGCTCTTTTGTAATATGATTGAGAAAGAAGAATGAGGTAAATAAGTCAGGCATGGTTATAAGGTTTGCTACAAATGGTAGCTAAATATTTTTTTACAATTTTTAATATATAATGTCTGGCACTATATTTTAGGATACAGTTGGGAAGATCATAATGTTGAAGAACATTGTCAAAGTTCTAGAAGACATGAAAGGTAATTTTCATTTATAAATATACATATATACCTCTGAAGATTTGTAATGCATCCTATATGTTTTAAACAAAAGTAGCAGTGTAAATAATAGCATGCATTGATAATTATTAAATTCTCACAAAATCATATACCTTAATTTCAGATAGGTGAACTGCATTTGCAAGTCATTCTTTTAAGAAAGAAGTCAAGGAAACAATGCCTTAACTTATATTACCATTTGAATCATAATACAATGAGAACTATACTGTAAAATTGTCTGTTTATTTCAGATTATTCATATTATAAAAGATATCCATGTTGAAAAGATGATAAGCATATCTCTAAAACTCTCTATTGCACTAATAGTCCATAGAAAAGGTAGTTTAACCCATATACTTATGACTGTGTTAAGTTTAGTGAAGGGGCAGTTAGAGTCATGAATCAAGGGGTAGCTGTTGTGGAGAGGCCTTAATCCAGATGCCACAAGTCTATGAGGACATAAAGTGTGAACTCAATGTGGAAATCTTGCATCGGTTATTCTTCCTTTACTAGGTATATCATATGTTACTCTGGATACCAGCCACATGAGCAGAGGGGTGTGAAACGATATAGCATACCTCTCTCTCAGAATAGACAGAAGATATGTAGCAGTCCCCATGTTGAGTATAGTTGTTGAATTTGATGTAAAAGTATATAAGTAATTGGTTTTATAGCCTCATTGTTAATATATCAACAATCTCACATTTCAGAAAAGCACCATGAGTACTAGGACTGTATAAATATTTTTGTTTGACCTAGTTCACTTAACAAATGTAGTATCACTCACAGTAGAGGAAATATTATGAATGCAATAAGAGTGGTAAAGCTCTGAGTTTTTTCAGTTCTCTTCAAATACACGAAAATTCTCATGTAGAAAAAAGATTCTGTAAATGTGAATCATGTATCTTTAAAAATAAAAAGCAAGCCTTAATAAAGGGGAAAAACAAAATTGTAAACGTGGTAATAAAATGTTAACATATAATTCCTCTTTAAAATAGGACTAAATTGTAAAATTAATTCATACAGATAAAATACGTTCAACAATATATTAAATGTAGTAATGCTTTCACATGTACCATTATCATTGTAGGCATGAAAAAAGTCAAACTAGAGAGAAAACTTCTGTATATACTCAATGTATTAAAGCCATTACATGTGACAGTCATCTTCACATGCATGAAAAAACACATACTAAATTAAAACCCTATGATGGAAATGAGTGTGATAAAGCCTTTTCACATCACAGTAATCTTCAAATGCATAAAAAGACATACACTGGAGAGAAGACTTTTGAATGTAATCAGTGTGGTAAAGCCTTTGTATGTCACAGTGATCTACAAAGGCATGAAAGAACCCATACTGGAGAGAAACCCAATGAATGTAACCAGTGTGGTAAAGCCTTTGCATGTCACAGTGAACTCCGAAAGCATAAAAGAAGCCATACTGGAGAGAAACCCTATGAATGTAATCAGTGTGGTAAAGCCTTTGCATGTCACAGTGAACTCCGAAAGCATAAAAGAACCCATACTGGACAGAAACCCTATGAATGTAATCAGTGTGGTAAAGCCTTTGCATGTCACAGTGAACTCCGAAAGCATAAAAGAACCCATACTGGACAGAAACCCTATGAATGTAATCAGTGTGGTAAAGCCTTTGCATG